GTTACAGGGTTTAGAAGTCGGCAGGGTGCTGCTGCAAAAGGGGTGACGTGACACAATCTTAGCCATTGCTTTCTCCCCAAGGCTTGCCACTAGATGGTGACATGTGGCACCAATTTCAACCATATTTTACCCTATAAACACAACCCCTTCCACCCTCATTTCTTCACACCTCTATCCTTCTCTCTCTACTCTCTCTCTCTCTAAAATTCCCAAAACTCCCCTAGCGTTAGAAGAAATCCCCAGAGCTCTTGACGGCTCCGAGATGAAGAGCTTTCGGCTCGAGAGTTCTGCCCCTACAGAGCACGGCTTTTAGCCAAACCTCCTCGTAGGTAAGATAGACCTACCATATGTTAAATATAACTTTTATTTAAATATAGTGTTGTTATTAGGAACTTATAATAAATATTTGGGATATTATTATGAGTTATATAAGTGTCATTATAATATCTTTTTAACCACTCACGGTATGGGGAATCTAGTTTAATGGGCCGCATAGGGTTGTTGGATTTCAGAACTGCTATATGCCAAAATGGTCCTGCCCTCCGGTGTTTTATGTCTGGCCCCTGTCTGTACATAGTGGGTGTAAAGTATTGTTTAACGCTTATATAATAGTAATAATAGCTAGACTATTAATTATTCTCTGTGAATATTAGACTAAACTCTAGTGGTAATGATACTAGGTTTCGTCGAATGAAAATAAATTAATAGAAGCGAAGCGTTGTCTGAGTTCGGAATCACCACCTTAACAAGTGAATGCATGGTCTCTTTCATCTTACACATAGATATGAAGTATTTAATATAAATTACGTGTTGTGAGTGCATGGTCCATTTCATCTCACACATAGATATGAAGTATTTAATACAAATTATGTGCTGTGAGTGCATAGTTATTTTCATCTTACAAATAGATATGAAGTATTTTATATAAACTACGTGTCATCTGTTCACATTATCTGTATACTTGTTATCTATGCTAGATGAACGATTTTATACAAGTTTTAAATGATTTAAAATGTATATGTATTTTATATCTACGGATATATTGGGTAAAACATGGGTAGATAAATGATGGGAGATGAAAGATGATATGAGTGAACATTGGCAGCTATAGACTTAGTGCCTAATAAATAACATCGGCAGTTATGGTTTTAGTGCCTATTGGATAAGCGTTGGTAGCTATGGACTTAGTACCTGTTAGATAAAAGTTGGTAGCTATGGACTTAATACCTATTAGATAAACACTGGTAGCTATGAATTTAGTACCTGATGAATGAACTTTAGCAGCTATGGAATTAGTGCTTTACGAACGAGCATTGGTAGCTATGGACTTAGTGCCTATCATATAAACCCTGGAAGCAATGGACTTCGGTTTGAAGGAATACAGGATGAATAATTCTTAGGGTAGACCCTTAACAATAAAGAAGATATTGGGGATGGGTAATTGGGATAATTGTTTGATGATGAAACATAATAATTATATTATTGTGGATTGAAAACCCTATGTACTCACCTGGTTTCCCAACCTAACCAGTCAGTTCATTTGTGTCACAGGTGTCGATATGAAGTTACATTACACTAAGAGATTAAGGAAATATAAATCACTAGTGATAATGAATGTAAGTTCTGTTTATGCTTATGTTTTTGTATTGACGATGACATCCCAATGTTTTAAAATGAATATAATACATTTCTTCGGAAATGATTTGATAACGTATTTATCATGTTTTTATGGGAACAAATTCCGCAACTTTTTCATTAAAAGAGGTACTCTGATTTTTATAAATCATAAACAAAATCGGTCTTTTCTGACAATGAAAATGGGGATGTCACAAAACCCATTAAGTAAGGGTATTAACGGGGGAAGTTAGAAACTTTACCCTTCCAAGGTCATTTCCAATGTATCTTCAAAGTTTGGAGCTTGGATCTGTAGAATAGAATAGTGGCTTAATCCATTAAGATAGCCCAACAGACTGAGGGATACGTCGAGTCCAGGGAGGGACTCGATGAGTAGATTCGATAAATGGGGACCAGGAGTAGCCAGAGAACTCGGCGAGTCAGGGGCTGAATCGACGAGTTGGTTCGTGATTTCTGTGTTCGGTGTTTTAACACTCGACGAGTTGAGGGAGCAACTCGGCGAGTTGAGTCAACTCTGAGCGTTGACTTTGACATTGACTAGGGTTGACTTAGTTTGAATTTTGGAGGGTATTTTGGTCTAAGTGACATTTTGGTAATTGATAGCTTGGGGAGTCGAGTGATCAACAGTTCGAGGATCTGCCAGCTAGCAGCGAGGGGTTATTTGACATTGGTGCCTTCAACCCATACAAACAATGAGGAGATTCACCTTGAATGCTAAAACTCCCTGTAAGAAATCCTTAGTTGTTGTCCTGATAACTCCTTAGGCTATCAATACCAAAATATCGCCCAATTAGCAATTAGGTCCCAAACCATGATCTATAATCCATACTTGGGGGTAAATTGACCATTTTATCCCTGGCCCAACAAGATTCATAACTAAGTCCCAACCCAAAATTGATAAGGCCCAAAACTGTAAAATCCATAAAAGACCACTAATGGCCCAATTTTCCAAATTGGGCCCAAATCCTCAAATGGGCCTTCACTTTAAGCCCACATATATTCTTAGCCTAAAAATATCTAATTTCTGATGGTCCACCAAGGTCCAAAGTAAAGAAGTCCAAGGAATGACCCAAACCGAGGCCCAAAACAAAACCTAGCCTATTGCCTGAGTATGTGGGGTGTACTCGGTTGTACGTTGTGCGTACATGCTTGTACACCCAACATACTACTTTGTTAAGCCACTTATACCATTAAGCACTCAATACTTTATTCTAGAGGTTAAAATCACAGATGCAAGTCCTCTTCAATGTCTTAATCCATAAAGTCGCTGACTTGGTGACTTTACACGACCCAAATGAACCCAATCTCAAAGTATAGAAATCTACTTCCATGAAAATGACCTTAACTCATGCATGAACACATCAAGACCTTCAAGATGGCAACTTTCTGTCATATGGACTGAAACATAGCACCAAGGGTGGCAACCCTACGCTTAGGAAACGGATTTGAACCATAAAGCTTCATCCTTGGGACCAAAAAGGTCCAAAACCCAACACAAGAGATCTAAGGAAATAATCACCATGTTTAAGACTTTATACCTCAAATGAAAGTCAAAAGTTGATGAGGTTCTGGATCTAAAAGCTCTATCTTCTTCAATGAATCTTCAAGAGTGAACACCTTCTTCAAAAGCACCAAAATGATCTTCTAATGACCTTCTAAGCTCCAAGAATACACAAGGAGGGATTAGAGTTTCATGAAAGATATCGAAGGGTGAGAGGATGGCTGATCTTTAAGGTTATAATGTTCTTTATATAGTGCTCAACCCTAAAAATTAGGGTTTTAGTTTGAAGGGAGTACACCCGACGTACTCACAAATCACCCGCGAACAGATAACCTTATACGTTGGACGTACCCAGCTAAACAAACGCATGCATTCCTTGCATGCATGGGACTACCTTACCACTTATCTCCATAAGAGACCAAAGTTGTCAATAACTTCAAAGTTCCATAACTTCCTCATCCGAGGTCCGTTTCCAATGAACCTTATATCCATGAAAAGGTGCCGAGAAGCCCTACATTCCTAATAACCCTCCCAGTCCTTAAAACCTTCCTAGTTTAAACCCAAAATCCTTAAAATACATCCTCTACAGCCGTGACGGCTGTATGTGTTGGGGCATGGCGGGTCTTTTAGTATCGGGACTTCAATAATATTAAGCCCCCGACTTTTGATGGAGTCCAGGACCCGATCATAGCTATTAGGTGGGTATCTGATGTGGAGGGATGCTTCTTCACTTTTTCATACCCTGCTGACCAGAATGTCACATGCGCTCTGAACCTTCTGAGGTCCGGCGCGAAGGATTGGCGGAGGCTCGCTTCTTTTGGATTTGGTGTCTAAGCCCATAACTATAATTGATATGTACTTGATTTGATAATAGCAAGATCCTTTTGGGTTGCCTTCATCCATGCAACTTGATAGGATGAATGATGGAGACAGAGTAAGTTTTATTATTTGAAATAATAAATTGGTACAACATAATAGCACCATTTAAAACCAAAGTAAAAAAATATGTACGAAGTTATAAAGAATAAAAGTTGTAAAGCCATAGTTAAAACCAAGTTATAAAAAACACTTTTGAAATACAAAAATGAAGTTGTAAAAATTAAAAAAAAAAAGGGCAAATTTGTGGAAACTGATCGGGACCATTATATATACTATTAATTCTCAAAATGTTACCTACTGTTACCTTTTCCCTCTTTCTTATTTTCGCACGGAAGTTTTTGCCTTTCTTATTTTGCCACTGAAACTTCTACTTTTCATTTTTTCGCACAGACAGTCGTATAATTTGTCATCCTTATCTTGTCTTCCTCATACCTAGTTGCCGCCATTCTCCTCCAATATGGTTCGTTTATATTTTATTTAATTTTTTCCATTTTCTTCTTTACTCTTCCTTCCTCTTCGCTTCTTTGTGTTTCTATTTCGCCTCCACATCTCTCTTCCTCTGCTCTTCGCCGTCTCTGTTTCTTCTTCAGGTATGTGTTGTAATTTGTCTTATACAATCTCATGTCGGCACTTTTGTCTTGCAAATATCGTATTTTGATTGTTCTTTACAAAGATAGAGGCGATGATGATATTTGTTTGTGAAAACAATTTGCACCGTCGACCATGGGTGAACTTGAAGGTCATATTTGTCAAGGCAACTCAGAAGGCATATTCGATTAGACTATGCAACCGGTGTTTGCAGCCATACTGTCTTTCATCCCCTTTTTCTGAGCCTCGTCTCATTGAAAATCACTTCCGTGTTTTTTATTTAGGTTTTCACCTTAAATATGAATTCACTTTTTATGATATTTGATTTTCAAATTCCTGGTGTTTCTTTTTTCGTCTTTTTCTGTACGTTGGAGAGGGTCACAGAAGAAAACGTTTTATGATTGACAACATATCATCGTCGACCTCATCACAGCTGAATAGCCGTTTGTCAACAACATCGACGACGGTGTTGTCAACTGCGGAGGGCGTTGATCAAATGGAGCTTCTTCTCAACAGCAAGTGAGACATATACCACCACCAGGGTTTTCGAGCAACCCAAGGAGTTGTTGTCGTTCCTGAATACCTGCCTTTTTTGTTCAATGATTTATGTGGGTTTGTTGTTGTTTGTTGTTTGCAGATTAAAAGTATTGATTTCGATTTTTAATCGGGCTTTAATTTTCGATTTAAGGACTCAATTTCTGACTTGCATCAGTTCGTAGAAGCTCGTGTACTACAAACCCTGAATTTTGGTGTTGACATTTTGTCTAGCTTGTCTCTTGCTATGACAATGAATGGGGTTACATGTATGTATATTGATTGTTTTATTATGAAAAGAAACCATCTTTTTTCTTTTTATCACCGGCAGTAGATTTTTATCTTAATTTGTATATTGATTGTCGATTTTTGTTGTAGCAACTGTCAGGTGGGTTCTTCTACAGAGAGGAAGGGATTCTTAGTTGCGAGACTTGACCTAAGAAATGAGTTATAGTTAATGAACATGACACATATGGTATTGGTAGCTATGTCTCATGTATTCATAGTTACACATACCTCCCTCCTATCTAGAGTTTTTTTTAAGACTTCTTTCTCACAAGTTGTTTAGTGAATTACTCTTTTGGATCCATTAAAATATTCACCTGAAACAAAACTATAGTTTTTTTTATTGCAAGATGAGAATAGAGATTGCTTTGCTGAAACTGTAGAGGTATGTCTAATATAATAATCCGATTTTCTGTCTTCTGAAAATGGAAGTACATTATAACATTTTCCCTCATATTACCTTTTTCAGTTTGTTAGTGCTTGCTTTGATATGAATATCTACCCGATAAGTTTCATTTTCGAAGAGCAGTGATGTAGTGGTTACGTGAGGCATTAAAGAATAAAGATGTCAGAAAAAGTTATGTTAATTCCTGTTTTGGTGTATGCTGAAATTGATCGAATAAGATGTAGATGTTAATTGTTTATTTGATGTTTTGAATGGTATGTATTGTTGGCGGGATTTTACAATTGAACATACTGTAACGCCTGATAATTTTGTTAGGGTCACTATCCTATTCTTCAATCATTTGAGAACCATAGTCATTCTTTAATAAATGATCATTATAACAACTATATCGGATTCCCATGTCATCAATATACATGTTATCAAGCTACATCTGCAAAAGATATATATATATATATATATATATATATATATATATATATGAGAAAAGTGAATATACATTACAGCCCCACCTAAGCTTAGGTACTAAACCTTATGAAAACATGTTGATTTACTATATAAACATTGCGATTAGGGGATTCACAATTAACAATTGAAGATGTAGATTCAAGATCGATGCAATAATTATGATAAGAAAGCAAAAATATTGATTATCTTAGAGTTTTCTGATAGCGAATAAAAGTAATAATCACTGGAGTGAAGTAATAAACGATAATTGAGGAAATAAAATATGGATGGTAAAACGATGTTGAAGGAAAGAAATGTTAACGAGGATGATATATTTATCAAGTGAAAAACAAATCTTGTATATTTACTATGTTAAAACAACATATTTTATAGGTTTAGTACCTATGCTTAGGTATGGTCGTAATATATATTCTCTATCCCCTATATATATATATATATATATATATATATATATATATATATATATATATATATATATATATATATATATAGAAAGTAACATTGACCCTATTTAACATTGATCCTGTATAAGGGCTGATTTGGGTGATAGAAGCTCTAAGAATCAATAAGGTTTATCAGATTCTCACTAACTTGATGGGAAAAGTCAATAAGAACCCAATTGCCATACAAGGTATATTTTGTCAATATAGCTATTTTTATAAGCAATTTATGATAAACTTATTTGTATTTATGACTTTATGTTTGATGTTAGGGGTGTTGTTGCTCGTGCATTACATCTATCAAGAGGAGTTGAAAAACCAAGTGGTAGGGTTACTTACATAGTTGTTCTTGAAGGATTGAGTAGATTTAGTGTTGAGGAGTTTAACACAAGAAGAACTTACACTACTGGAAGAATTTCTCCTATTGATATGACAGAGGCTGGTATACCATCAAAACCACATTATTCCTTTTCAATTTCTATGTAGATTAACATTCACCATGTTTACTTTATGGATTTCATGGTATTTGAATAAAGTGAAAAGTTTTGAGAAATTGATGTCACACTTGAGAAAATGGAAGACTCTCCTAAGTCAAACAGTTCATTCAATCCAAAAACAAAACAACTTTGTCTATACAAAAGGGTAGAGTGGTCATTTTTTCATATTCAAACAGTTCATTCTGTCAAAAAAAAAAAAAAAAAAAAAACAATATTTGTTTATACAACAACATCATTTATCCATTCATGCATGAAGATTGAAGAAGCATTATGCCAATGAGTTGAAGTTTTCATCATTAGTAATTGAGTTATTCAACTATTGAAAAAACATGAAATGGAGTATAAATATGTTAAATTTCAAAGTTTATATCATTTAGGGTCTTTCAAGATGCTGAGTTGCTACATTTTATAATCTTAATTAGAAATGAAGCAAGTAGAACAAGACACATACTTCATAGTATTGTCTACACAGTTTATACAAATTGCCATGGAGCTTATTTCTGTTCTTGAACAGGTATAAACAGTGACTATTCTCACTATTATTTTATTAAAAGTAATATTGTAACATTTTTTTTTTCAAAATTTCATTTTTAGAAACAAAAAACTAGAAGGAGAACTAAAGTTCTTCTTGAAATTTGTCCCCGTGCACAAACTCACAGATATATTTGTTGCAAGCTTTGAGATAAGCTTTGAAGAACAGTTGGCTATGTTAGATTCAGTTGATGTAAAAGTAAGGCTTTCAAAAGCCACAAAGTTAGTTGATAGACATTTACAGGTAAAAAAAAACTTATAATTTTATATTTAGAAACTTTGCAATTTATAGTTGAAATTGATGAAATTATTACATGTATCAGTCTATTCGTGTGACAGAAAAGATTACACAAAAGGTTGAAGGACAGCTATCAAAAACACAGAAGGAAAATCTTTTAAGCCAACAGGTATGTTTTTGGATTTTATTTTTATGTTTTTTTTAATATAAACTTTTTCTTGATTGTAAACCAGATGAGGGCTATTAAAGAAGAGCTTGGAGATATTTATGATGAAGATGATGACGTGGCTGCTCTTGAAAGAAAGATGCAAGATGGTGGAATGCGTCTAAATATTTGGAAACATGCACAAAGGGGATTAAGGTATAGTTGATTTTTGCAATTTTGGTCCCAAAATTTTATTTTATTTTATTTTATTTGCAGTTTCGATCCTTATTTATGGTTGTTGAAATGCTTTTGGTACCTATTCTTCCAAGTAAAATGAATATTTTAGGCCATTGGTTATAGTGATTTTTGCAATATTTTTTCCCAAAAATCTAGTCATGTTACTTGGAATAGGAAGCAAAAACATGACAAAAACCTCAAATTAGGACCAAAATGAAAAAAATCATATTTACTCAAGGACATTTTCCGATTGTGATTGTGTCTTACCTCATTATGGGATATTACATATTGTTGTTTCTTTAAAATATTGACAAATAAATATGATTTTTTTTTTTTAATTTTAAACATATATAAAATGTTATATTTTCAATCTCAGCAACCAGAGTATAACAGCTCACGTGTTTAGCTTGAACTTCTTGCTGATTTGCCATGACATACAGCCATTGAAGAACCTGAGTTGGACCTAAAAGCTGCAAAAGAAAGGTTTGATGGTGAGCACTATGGCTTAGTCAAAATCAAACAAATGATTATTGAATATCCGGAAGTTAGCGAGTTTAGAAAAACAATTAATTTGGAATGATGGAATCATGGTAGGAATGGAGTTGTTCATTCCATTCCATTGCCATGTTGTGATGAATTTTTTGAATTGCAGCTGAAACAGAATGCAAAAAGCCAGATATTATGCTTTGTAGGCCCGCCAGGTGCCGGGAAAACATCATTGGCATCATCAATTGCTACTGCTTTTGGGAGGAAGTTCATAAGAAAATCTCTTGGTGGTGTAAAAGAAGAAGCTAACATTAGAGGCCATAGAAGGACATACATTGGAAGCATACCCGATCGCCTTATTGATGGATTATAGGTGAATTTTTTTCATTTTTTTTTTACAAAAATAAATTTGAAATTTTTACTTTTATAAGCTATATAACATTTCAGATCAAATTAATGTAATTTGTTTTGATTAATATTATATTATGTTCTACCTTTTGGTACAACTTGAAATAAGAAAAAAAAAACAAACAAACAAACACAGCACCAAAGGCGCAACTAATTCCACTTTAGTTTCATAATTAAAATTAAAACTAGAAGCAAACTTAAAAAAAAGTTAGATAATCTAATAACTTACTATATAAAGTCGACAAGTCACATTGGTGTAGTTGATATAGTTTTAAAAGTTAAGTGACTATACTAGCTAAAGAAAAGTTTACGTTTTTTTCAAACTCAAATCACCCCATGAGCTTTGTATGGATGTCACTTTATCGAACAAACTTGTATGATACAAATAATAATCAAAATATATTAATTCACTTAGGTTTAAATTAAGCACCAATTCAATTCCATTTAGTGATTCTTGAAAAAAAAACTGAAAATGAAATGAAAATCATAGGGGGTAAAATTATCATTTTTATCATCACTAATACAATTTGGTCGAAACAAGCATGTGGTTTTATAGATCAAATAAGTTTTTTCGATGTTTTGTTGGCTAAAATGACACTTTTTAAATTCGATAGCCTACTAGACCTAAATAGAGAGACATGTCCAAACCCCAAGTGTATATGGAATTGGTATACACATGGTACATGTCCATGCCTTAGGCTTAGGCCTGATCCGATCCGAACCCTTGAAAAATTATATGAGTTTGGAGCATAGTTTTTTATTCGTTTACCTGTTAACGACCGTACTCGCTAATCTTTTTATTAAAAGGGTCGGGTATGAATCATCACATTCGATCCGTTTATAACCCGCCTTGTATAAATTTTAGAAATAAATGCCTATATTTTATCATGCCTAAAGTTTAATTTTAATTTTAATCGAAAGTCCCAAGGGGAAAAGCCAAAGGCCAAACTATTTTTGGAGTCAACTTCTAGATGGTCTATTTACAAGAATCAAAGTATCATTTCATTAATATTTCATCAAGCAATCACTAAATTCAATTATAAATCAACAAATTCATTGTCAACCAGAAGAAAGTTTGCAATTGCTATTCTCTATCACCGTATAAAACATTTAAAAATCAATTGGAAGATACTATAATAGCGAACTTAATTCCAATCGAAAGTTCTCGAGTATGTAATGTGTTTTCTAAATAAACATTTTTGTTTGATTATTCAAAAAATCTACAGACTATGGGGCGGGTTTGGATATTTGTTGATTCGGTGGATAAGCAAATGTGTTTAATTATTCAAAACTCTGCAGGTTACGGAGCAAGTTTGGATTCGATTTTGAAATTTGTTAAACGAGTTTGAATTCGATTCAAACCCACCCCATTGTGAGGCGAACTTAAGCTATATTGCATGCTAAGTTTTTAACCTTTCAACTTTTTACCCCAAATCATTGCCATTTTTTTCCTTATCAAAATTTCACAAAAATTTCCAAGAAAACTCAAATCACCCCAAGAAAATACCCTCGGGCAGAGAGGTGTGAACATTATGTCGTCATGCTATGCCTTCATCCATGTCAACATTCATGCCCATGAAATGTTGGGTAGAGCCATGTGACCTTAAAATCATTTGTTTGGTATAAAGATGAAATATTTTTTGTATATTACAATATTACAAAAACTAGCACTACTTTAATATAAAGTTCACTTTGGATTGACATTTTTGTATATTACAATGTTTAACACTCTTATTCACGATGAGAATAAGACTTATTTTTTTTAACTGACAAACAATTATTGTTTTGTATCAACTTTAGGGGAGCTTTTACATTTAGTTTAACTCTCTTACCTCGAACTAGGGAGCTTTTACATTTAGGTATCATGGCCAATTGGCCATAGACAATATTACGAGGATAAAAAAAGACAACCATACAGTCATACTTGATGTTTATGAACGACTTTTGGGTGACATAAAACTTGATTTGTTTGAAAAAGGTCAAAGACTACAAACATAGATAACCATTTGTTCCATAACATTCATTAAAAACAATTAAACCAAACTTAGAAATGTAAAATAAGGGAAATATTGGAGATTGTGGAACTAGAGATACTATACCAAAAAAAAGCTTCATCATTTAAGTTTCTGCCACTTTAAACAAACTTCCACCGCCATAACTCTCTGATTTATCAAGTTTTCTCCTGCATCCAAAACACAAAATGTAAATAAATAAATAACACCATCTTGAGTTGGCATCCACATCAACCAAGTGGTAGAAAGTTATTTGTTTATCATGCAATACGAAAGCAAAATACAAATACATGTTAGAAAATACAAACAAATAGCCATACGAAAGCAAAAATACAAATACATGTTAGAAAATACAAACAAATAGCAAAATGAGGAAAGAAGATAATTATAAATGCATGTGAAGCAACAAATATGACGCATACCTTATAATTAAGATGAGAAGGTGGAAGTAAGATATTCTTGATCCTCCACGAAGATCTGCAGATTCATGTCTCTTCTTTGGCTCGATTTTCAGATTAGGATCAGCAAGAAAGCCCAAAATGAGTTTTAACAACCCCTTTTTTATTATCTTTTCTTTTGAATCAACCGGCTTGAATGCATCATGATCAACATCAGATGTGTTTTTCTTTACAGATTCAGACAATGTACGAACACCAAGTCTGGTGTAGATCTCCACAAGCTTGGTTCGGGTTAGGGTTTTCTGACTTGGCTGAGGAAACCATACGAATATGGGACGAGAGAAGGTTTTTGTAAAGAGATCAGTCAAGAAAATATCATCACCAAGGAACACGTCACACTTGTCCAACAGAAAAATGACCTTGGAAGCAGGATCCAAAACAGGGAGTTTGGATAAGTTGTTTTTGAAAGTATCTTCCATTCCTGGGGTCCAATTTCACACCACAAACTCCCAAAAGGCGCAACACTCTTTGTGTGTGATTTGACACCCTTCTGAACTTTCCCATGACTTCCAGAGCTTACAGTAGTCTTCAACCGAGGGATGAACTTTGGCATCGAAAGTCTCGGCAAAGAAGTCAAGAATTGTGTTCTTATATTTGCAATTTTCCAAAACCATCAGCTGTTCACCAAAAAGATTGTTTTTGTCGTGAAGAACACAAGCTTGAGGCGTCACCCACTCTCCATTTTCAGTTCCTTTTGGGATCCATATCCTTTTATTTTCTTCATCGACAGGGACCCACTTGTATGTAGACAAGAAATAATAGATTCGGGAAATTGTTTCAAAGTTTGAGTGGCATTCGAGGTAGCTAGCAAGCAACTAGCATTCCTTGTTAGTTTCATTGGTAACTCCTAAAGCATTGAGCTCATCTTTGTAAGATACAATGTGAGATCCATAGAATCCTTCATCAATAAAAGGACCATCGTTACACTTCAAGAAAGAATCATGTAAAGAATTGAAAAGCAAGCACTCATCAGGACGTCTGTAGCCAAAATGCGTTTTCAACCAACTCTTTTTAGAAACTTTTTCTAGAAATCCATCAGGAAAATCTGTTCTGCTCTCCTTCAGTTTCTTGACAGAATCAAGCAAGGCAAAAACATTCAATGCAGTCAGGCTACTGCAATCTTGAGGTAAGAAAAGACGAGAAGCAACAAACTTGGCACCATCTTTGAAATCTGTAACCACACCCAAATCCTTCAGCTCAGCATGATAGTCATGGATCCCAATGCCATAAAAGTTGTTGCTGTCATCAATGAAAGGAAGCAAGGAGATTGGAATAACTGGTTCCCAATCTTTGCCAAAAAGAATGCACTCATTTGGCGATCTGTAGTCGCCAAGTCTTGTTTTTAGCCATTTCTCTTCTCGTATGCACTTCTTGAGCTCCGAAGGAAACTTTACTTTAAGTTTCCTAAGCTTTCCATAACATTGCAGAAACGAAAGGACATGTTCTTTTTTGATTGAAGATATCGAAGCCTGCTGCTTGAAAGTACGTGTAAATTCTTTGCTGGCATCCTCAAAATCCACCATCACACCTATTTTCTTTAATTCGTTCGACATAGAAAAGATAGACCTCCCGTAAAACTTTTCATCAAGAACAGGGAATGATCCGAAGACCTTAAGAAGGCAACCCCATTCAGATTCAGGGTTTGACAAGAAACATTCAGATGGGCATCCGTAAAACTGTAACCCAAGTTTGCCTTCAAGCACTTATTGTTTTTAATGGCTTGCACAAGCTTATCGGATGATCACAGATTTTTTATACAGTTTAATATGAGTAACAAAGCTTCAGATGACAGAGAGGTCAGTGAATATGAGGACTTGAGTTTGTCTGAAACAAGCTGATAATTCCCGTTGAACTTCACACCTACACCAAGAAGATCAAGCTCTTTCTTGAAAGAAAGCATCTCTGAACCATAATAATCACGATCAAGGAAGGGAATATCAGTTATCTGTGAAGCAGCATTCCATTCCTGGCTGAACAGAACACAATTGGTAGGAGTCGTAACACCTCGAGATGTCCTAAGCCACTTTTCTTTTCTTATACTTTCGATCAATTCCCGAGTGGAGATATAATGCACTCCAAGATACTGAATGAATTTCAGTATTGAAAAAACATTGTCTCTGGTAAGCTGTGAAGAGGCTGCAAGAGACATGAGGCGCTTACCAATAAATTCACAGGCTTCTGTATTTTGAAACCTAACACCGATTTTTTTCAACTCATCCTCATAGTTCTTCAACTCAACACCATAAAACTTTTCATCAACCAATGGGATATCAACAAGCACCGATCCATTCTGTAAAAGATTCCCGATGGATGACTTTAGCATGAACGACTCTGATGGCGGGCAGTAGCCAGGATTGCCACTCGAAGAAATCTTCAACCAGCTGCCATTTTCTATGGATGACAAAAACCTTTCTGGTAAACCATCTCTTGATGTCCTTAACTTGTGAAGCCACTCTAAAAGCAAGAATGCGTTTCTTTTAGTTAGAGGAGAGGAGAGAGTGGGAATAGCAGCATTGGGAGGAGATAGATAAGGAACATCAGAAGCCCCAACATATTTTTGAAGAAACGAAACAATCTCTTCACCAGATGTCACCATACCAAAATAACAACCACCACGTGTATAATCTTCACCCAACTCAACATAATTATGCTGCCTCCATGGATTTGAACCAATCAGCTCGACCCATCTGCTTCCTTTCGCAGGTACAAGCACTCCACTTCTTATTTTAGTAACATTCCCATAGTTATCAACTATGGGTATATCAATACACAGTTCCTCAACTTCATGTTTCCCTAAATACTCCTTTTTAAAAGAGTTGTGGAGGAAATGGGCATAAGTAACAACCAGCTTGTGGTCATTGTTGAGTGAATGACTAACAAGCTTGGCGTATTCACAAACTCTCACAAACTTAATTTTCATCTCATCTCTAAGCCATTTTACTAGTGTTGACTTCTGCGAACATGATCGTATGGCTTCTTGTGTGGCTTTAGGCAGAAAAAAATTACCTATTGAGTTTCTGAACTCTGTGTTGCAGTTATGCAACCAGGAAATACAAACCGAATCTGCAGCCATAAGCTTGTTTGTACCAGAGGCCGGAGTAAATACATCATCTTTTCCATCTCGCCCAATATACTTTATCAGAGGTGTGTTTTTCATTAAACCTTATCTGATAACCATTACTGAAAATATAAGGCCGGGTCGTTACCAAAAACACGCTTTTGAATCCAATTCCTGCGACAAATTAAATAAAAATGTGTCACAACACAAGACAGTGCTACAATATTTTCATTTTAGGACACTTAAGCTACTGTTAACCATGAAACACCATGATCTTTTGTTCAAATATTCATTCCAAGACCATCAGTGCAAAATTAACTTCTTTCATAACATGAAAATAGACTCAACTGTAAATCATGGTGAAAAAAGTTTAGGTTATTGTTACTTTATTGTTAAAAACACACTATCAATGTTCAAGCTTTATTGTTTGACGTCTCTAAAGTTAAAAACACCAACATCTTTTCTACATAAGCCTTAAAAAATAGTTACTTTATCCATAATCTTTAAAACACGAACATCATCATGTAAAAGCACAAGAGCTTGAACATGACATACATTTGACTAATTTTCAAATTCTTTTTTTATGTGGAAAACTTTAGATCGATTAATTTAATAAGCAAAGTCATTCTTTAATAACATATAGATGTTACCATTTAAATAACAACTCAAATAAAAAATTAGATTGTAGACTCTATTGTCAACGTGATGGGCGTCTGCACCATTCTTTTGGATTAGATTTAAGGCATGCACGTGACAAAATTATGAGTATAGAAATTAAATAAAAAACAGAGGTTACCTTTTTCGCCAATGTAACCACGCTTACGGAGACCTTTCTTAGTAGAACGTCCCACGCTACAAATCGACTCAACGTTCTTATCGGAACACCCTTTCTCGTTGTTGAAAACTAACAGCGTCGCCGGAGCTCCGGTGTTTGTTATGTCGGTTGACGTAATCACGAATTCCAAGGATGGAACAACCCCTTCCGGATACTCGTTATCCTCAGCGTTCTGTGAAATAGCATTAAACCAAATAACAGCTTATAGTCATGAAGCATCGTCGGTCATCGTCAAACTTACAGACCATAAATCTAAACATGTTAACACATAGTTTATTTTTTTCAGAAACTACAAAAACGACAAAAATATTTCCAAGACTATTGGAGTAAAGCAGACCAGTGATCAGGTTCAAAATCCAAAAGGAAACGGTCGATGAACCACCGTTAGCAGTTACCGAGAGAAATTACGGATCAGAAACATAAAATGTGATGCGAAAACATCATGAACTATTTTAAGATAATAACAGAAAGCAAAGAAATGAAACAAATATATACCTGTATAAGTTCCATCAAAAAATGCACGTCCTTCGCGTAAAGCTCGGCAGACAGATTCTTAACCGCCTGATGAAGATCCTCCGTTAGCGGATTTGCCTTTCCGCCGATAGAGAACTTCGTCTTCCTGATTTCGTTCACGTGTTCCCTCGCCGCTGTAGTCGTCGACGCCATTGTATGTGAACAACAAAAAACAATGCACGATTCCTCTTGCTCCGTATTCAAATCACAAACAAACTACGCAGAGTTAATAACCAGATCGATCAATAGAGAGAAAATTGGTGAGGAAGGAAGAGAAGATCATTGGGACAACAAAAGAGTGGGATGGTGACTATAAATTGATTCGACGTCTTTGTCAATTCCGATTCTTCAGATTCTTTCCCAATAACTCCGCTTTTACTAGCGAACTTTTGGCAGCTTGCACTTCCGGTCCTTACTAAATAAGTTAGCTACAAATTAAACCTTTTAAAGCTTTTCCGTCTGAGTTTTATGGGTGCCATATATAACTCTACTTAGTTAAAATAAAAAAAATAAAAAAAAATAAAATAACTCTACTTATTTAAGTAGAGAAAGTGTTTTTGCTTCGCTATGAGTCGGAAAATATGTTGTCTTGGTGTGGGTCAATTGATCTTTCGAGTTACATATTTCTTTTTAGTTTTTTTTATTTAAAACATTCGTTATATTGTTTAACCTTGTGGTTAAACCAAAAGACCTGATTTTTCATAGGCAATTTAGAAAAAAAAAACAAAGTAGGACGTTACATATGTTGGCTTGCATTTAGTTTTGCCGGATGTTAGGCAAACATCGGGGACTAAGTGCAATTGTTGCCCCTTTTGTTGAATTGTGTTGTTAAAACACCTTATGATAGGTAATATGGTAGCGATAAAATAGAATGCTCCTAGTATTTGGTTGAATAGTTCTAATGAAAAAATGATATCAACAACCACTTTTGAATGAAATAATACCATGACTTGGTTTTTTAATCATCTTAAGTATGTGAATGATGCACTCAGATAGAACGTCGTTAGTAACTCGCTAAATCACTTCTAAATGAAAAAATAATACCAACAAACAGTTCTAAATGAAAGAAATATCACATGTTGTAGTTACAACCAAAATGACAATTATGTCATTTTGTCCCTTTTGTTGAATTTTGCAATCGCTGCAGCCACTTATGTGACCAATATACCTATGAAACTTAATTTTTTTAAGCACAAAGCCTTAAAAACTTGAAAGTACATCGCATGATATAAAATAGGAATAACTGATGTTGTATTGATTATTCTTCCCTACGAATACACAATACATGCTACAGTTATAAATAGTCACTTGTAAAAACAAATGTTGTACTATAACACCCTACTTTTATTCTTGCTTGCTGCAGGTGTGGATAAATGATGATATTGCCCTTTGAATTTATATCTACTATCATTGGGTTTACCCGTCAACTCACCTCAGCCAACTTTTGCTTTAAAGTAAGCCAATCTTTGAGTAATGGATCATTCGGCTTATAGTCTTCCCATAATTTTGCATTAACATAGTATTTCTTTAGGGTATAACTAAAATGAATTTCAAAGAAGAATCGTCTTTGATTCGTGCCATATGTCTGCACAAAATAGCATTGTACCTTTAAGTCAAGAAATATAAGTCAAAAAATATATTAAAAAAATTGCATAAAGCGTACTTTCAGTATTTTCTTGCATATACAGTATAATTTTTGTAATCTTGTACATTAAAATGTTAACTTATATAATTTCATGCATTTAAATTGTAATTTTGATCATTTTTCTACATCTTTTTATCCATTTAAAGTTTAATTTCTATAACTCTATGGTAAAAGGGTTATTTATGTCATTTTCTACATTTATATGACAATTTTCTATAATTTTCTTTATTTATAAAGGTAATTGTTTTGTATCTTTAGCCACACACACACACATATATATATATATATATATATATATATATATATATATATATATATATATATATATATATATATATACTACTTTATAATACATATATAATAGTGAGATCCATGATTTTTAAGACCAAAGTCTTAAAAACAAGGAGCTTGATTTTGGACTTTAAAATTAATTTCAATGGTTTAGATTGAATAAATGGTAATCCAAGTTATTTGGATTAAACCAATAGAATAAATGTACCACCTTTCAAATATAAAATACATTTCTTAAAGCATAAAGAAACACAAATATACTCACACGTCACACGATCAACTTCTAAAATATAAACAAAGAGTCTCAAGAACAAAATTAAACTTTATCAACTCATACCTCCTATTCACCGGATGCATGTCGTTTGCGTTCCCAACCACCCCCTTTTAACACCTTGCTCATTGGCTCTCTTATCATTTGAACATATTCAAAAAAAAAAAAAAAAAAAGCATACGTTCCCTCTCTAATCCTAAATTCAGAGTCCAAACACCACCCTTCATCTTTTATCTTATGTCACGACCATCTGTCTTACCTTATATTTGTGTTTCGACCACCGTATTCCTTTGCTACTGCCATATTCGAATACCCTTGCTAACACCACTGCAGTCTCTTCCTTCCACAAACCCTATCCACCACCGCGACCGCCACGCAATACCGCCTCCAACAATTTTAGACTCGACATCACTATCGTCAGCAATGTCACACCCCCAAACCAAGGATGGCGGAAACGTCCGGGGGTGGAGGACTTCATGTAGAGTATCACAACAATGAGTATAATAGTGCTCAAAGTAATACAACCAACACAAATATAATTGAAAACGTTACATCAAAGCACATGTTTACATGATTCACATCAATTACATTATAATACAAAATGAACTGTTTGACGATTTATCGTCCCATCCTCAAAACGTTGTTGATTTCCTGTTTTCACTGAATTCCTGAAAATACAAGTAGTTTTGAAAAGTGTCAACACAAAGGTTGGTGAGTTCATAAGAGATTTCGTTCGAAAAGTAAATCGTTTTCCTTGTAAAAGCGTTAGAATATGTATCCAGAAAATCCGATATTTTCTTTAAAATTTGTGTAATGTAGTCTTATGACTGAAGACCAAAATGTATAATTAACCTTTCTTATTAATAGAAAATGTTATGTGCTTAAATGGACATGGACGCGTTTGAATTAAATGAAATTTCTGTATGTTCTCATGTTCGTTAATACTTTATATATATGTAGTCCTAAATTAGAGGACCGAGAAATAACAAGTATTGACCATACTTAAAAGTATAAATGTGGTTTCAAATGATGTGTAGTCGTAACTACCAAAACCAAAAGTGTACAGTAATATCTGTACTCATAGAGATAAAAAGTGATTTTAAATCGACATAAAACTCATTTAGGTTTTAAAAATAAAATCCCGTAAACTTATGGATTGTTATATCCCTATGTGAGTCGCTATAATCATACTAGGACTATGTGAACCTGCCACGACGTTCTCAGGCGTCGCGAAAAATAAAATGACATTTGTCACCCGTAGACCTGCAGGTCCCACTGTAGCTAGCAGCAAGGTGTGAGGTGTCAAACCCAATATAGATCTATATACAAGTATCACGTTCTCCCTCAAGGAGATTCTGATTATAACTACCAGGAATTATATCCCGCACTCGGACGTACGGGGAGAGAGAGAGAGAGAAAGAGAGAGGGAGAGAGAGAGAGAGAGAGTCTCACAATATAGGTTAACAAGTTTACATGAAATGTGTGTGAATATAAATATTTCTTATATGAATGTACCCTTCTTGTACGAGTGTGTTGAGTGATGTATCATAAACTATACCTATTATAGTTTATCTAAAATGTATGTAATATGTATGAACTCTTTTATGGAAATGTATTAGTGTTATGAATTTTTCAAACTATAGGTAAACAAATTTACGTGAAATGTGTGTGAATATAAATCTTTCTTGTATGAATGTACCCTTTTTGTACGAGTGTGTTGAGTGATGTATCATAAACTATACCTATTATAATTTATCTAAAATGTATGTAATATGTATGAACTCTTTTATGGAAATGTATTAGTGTTATGAATTTATCAAACTATACTTTTTATAGTTTAATATACGTGTTCTAAAATGAATGAATAATATTTATTATGAATGACTTAGTTTCAGTTCATGATGATAAACTAACAAAGAAACACATTCAATAATTAGAACTTATGATTATACACTTTGCTCAACATATTACAAAGTGTTATGATATTTACATGCTGTTGGCTAAATTTAGCCATTCTGCCCTGTTTTGGAAAAATCATAGAAAAATCATACGAAGTCGAAAACTAGATCCGTAAATTCTGAGAGTTCACAAAATGTGTCTAGTTTACTCATAATTTTTATCACGATTTTTAATGACCTCCAACTTGGGTGAAAAAGTCCATAATCACAGACTGGTCCGGATTGTTGTTTGAAATGATAGACAGTTTTGTAAAAATCACCATAAATTGTAGAAAAATCGTATGGAGATGTGCAAGTAATCATTTTAAAGCTAAAAACTTGAACTATTTGCACCTTGTACAGTTTTGAAAACAAAAATGTTTAAGATTCCCAAAACAGTCCGTGAATGGAGTTGAACTTTTCTGATGAAGGCTGTTAGAAAACATTTAGTTATGTTCTTAGTGTTTTAACTTGTATTCCCCCCCCCCCCCCTCTGAAAACTTGAGAAAACATGAAAATGTAGGGGTATGAACTCACCTTGAGTGATTTTAGTAGATAAGTGTTGAAGAAGAGAAGTGTTCAACCCAAGAACACTTGAAGAATCACTTGAAGATTCGAAGCTCTAACGCTAATATGATGGAGTTTGTGTAAGATATTCATGATTTGAGTAGAATGAAGTGAAATAATCATAAGGAGGATGAATTATACTTACTAAGAGTGGAAAAACACATGAAAATCAGCCTTGAATCTCGAAATTGGAGTGGGAAAAGTTTGAGAGAAAAGTGGTGTTTGATACTTAGTGAAATGAGGGCAAATGAGAGAAATAAGGAGAGAGGATGTTTGTTCCATCTCTAAAAATGTGGGAATGAGTGTAAATTGAGTGTAAGGGACATTGAAGTGACCTAGGTAAGGTGGGGAGGTGTGGTTAGTCAAAAAGTGGGTGTGGGGTGGTTGCTTGTGACATTGGATAAGGCAAAGTCAACACTCCACCTTTAATAATTCACCCATT